AATTTTTGTTGAAATCAAAAAAAGTTTAATTTTGGACCCCAACTTGGACAAACTTGAAAACTGGGCCCATAATCAAAAATCTAAACACATGTTTAGATTCAGCATATCAAAGAACCCCAAGAATTCAATTTTTGCTGAAATTCAAACTAAGTTTAATTTTGGACCCTTTGGACCTTAATGTAGACCAATTTAAAAAACAGGACTTAAAATTAAAAATCTAAATACACGGTTAGATTTGGAATATCAAAGAACCCCAATAATTCAATTTTTGATGAAATCAAACAAAGTTTAATTTTGGACCCTTTTGACCTCAATATGAACCAATTTGATAGCGGGGCCCACAAATAAAAAATCTAAATACATGGTTAGATTCAGCATATCAAAGAACCTCATATATTCAATTTTTGTTGAAATCAAACAAAGTTTAATTTTGGACCCCAATTTGGACAAACTTGAAAACTGGGCCCATAATCAAAAATCTAAATACATATTTAGATTCAGCATATCAAAGAACCCCATATATTCAATTTTTGTTGAAATCAAACAAAGTTTAAATACTGGACCCTATCTTGGACCAACTTGAAAACTGGGCCCATAATCAAAAATCTAAACACATGTTTAGATTCAGCATATCAAAGAACCCCAAGAATTCAATTTTTGTTAAAATCAAACTAAGATTAATTTTGGACCCTTTGGACCTTAATGTAGACCAAATTAAAAAACAGGACCCAAAATTAAAAATCTAAATACACGGTTAGATTTGGAATATCAAAGAACCCCAATAATTCAATTTAAGATGAAATCAAACAAAGTTTAATTTTGGACCCTTTTGACCTCAATATGAACCAATTTGATAACGGGGTCCACAAATAAAAAATCTAAATACATGGTTAGATTCAGCATATCAAAGAACCCCATATATTCAATTTTTGTTGAAATCAAACAAAGTTTAATTTTGGACCCCAATTTAGACCAACTTGAAAACTGGGCCAAAAATCAAAAATCTAAATACATGTTTAGATTCAGCATATCAAAGAACCTCATATATTCAATTTTTGCTGAAATCAAACAAAGTTTAATTTTGGACCCTTTGGACCTTAATGTAGACCAATTTGAAAACTGGACCCAAAATTAAAAATCTAAAAACACTGTTAGATACGGCATAACAAATAAATAAATGTGATCAAAGTTTTTAAAAATCTAATGCGCCATACTGTGCAATTAAAGATTACTTCTTGAAATTTTTCAATATTTGAAATTTGAAAAAAAAATAATATTTGAAGAATAATTCTTTTTAATTTCTGAAATCTGAAATGAGAAAAAAATTGACCCCCCACAATTTCTTTTTATCCCCCCCCCACCTTTTTTCCCCCAAAAAATTCTTTCCCTCAAGATATGGTCATAATCTCAATTCAAATTTCCAATGGAGTTGGCAACCATAATTACCCATTTAAATTTACCATAGTGCTAACTTAATCTATTTTATAATAGAATTAAAAATATAGTGTCAAATCTTTCATATGGATTTTTTTGTAAAAAAAAAAAGATGCAACATTTGCAGATATTTTTACTGGTCTTCCTTTATAAATATGCATTTCTTTAAACATAATTTAAAAGCAGTGTAAGGGAAGTAACCAAAACATTGTATTTGGATTACCTCCCTTACACTGATTTAAATTATCTTTATTGTTCATTAACCATTACTTTATACATAATTTAAAAGCAGTGTAAGGGAGATAATTTCAATGATGTATTTGATTTATCTCCCTTACACTGCTTTAAATTATGTTTTGTACTAAAGTATTTGTCCATTAACCAGGACAACCTTGTTTTTCCCCCTTTTTTGCCCCTAATTCCTAAACAGTTTGAGCCATAACCCCCCAAAGCAAATCCTAACCATCCCTTTGTGGTATGGAAACTTGTAGTATAATTTCAGAGAGATCCATACATTGTTCCACAGTTATTGTCTGGAAACTAGAAAATGCTTATTTTTGGCCCCTTTTTGGCCCCTTATTCCTTAACTGTTGGTACCATAACCCCCAAAATCAATCCCAACTTTCCTTTTGTGGTATTTAACCTTATGGTCAAATTTCTAAAAGATCCATTCACTTAAACTAAAGTTAGAGTGCGAAAACCAATGTGTCTTCGGACGACGAAGACGCCATACCAATATACGACCACAAAATTTTTTTGCGGTCGTATAAAAAGGGCATTTAACGCGTGATATGATAATATGAAAAGGGCATGTTTTAATAGAGATTATAATCAAACATTGTTTGTTCATTGAATCACTGGTTATATATATACAAGAACAACATCATTAGCCAAGAGAAAAACTATCTTTCTACTTTTTAGGCTGAAAACTTATCAAGCAGCTTGTCACACAAGTTTTAAATCATTGCTTGGCACAGTTAAGCTTTATATGCAGTATTTTTTGAAAAATGTCCTGCTTCATTCTGTTTCTATGGTCTGACACACTTTACAAGTTTCACCTTTCTACCTTTTCTGTGCCTTTAATGGCAATACAGCACAAAACAGCTGTAAATGCACAATGTTAGGATATAGTGAACAGTGAAAATTTGGATTGAAAATAAAAAATACAGAAAAAGATGACCAAGGCACCCTACCAACCCTGCTATTAAGACCCTCTTTAACTTTTCCCACAACTCAAAACACCTAAACATATAAATTCTAAAGCCAGAAGTATGAAGACATATTTTATAACATCTTAGTAGGTTACTCAATGCTAGGAAAAAATATGATTGAGTTATCTTTCTTTATTTGGGTGTGCTCCTTCTTTGGAGGATAATAAACAGTACGTAGAAGATGTAAATACGATCAACAATATGGCGGCCGATTTTGTTATTTTCGTATAAAAAATGAAGGCAGTCAATGAAAAATACGTCTTAATTTGCTATTTATTTCACGGAAAACAATAAGAGCAATGTTTTTAACGAGTTGATTATGGTTTTCGACTTTCTGTCAATTACGTTTTCTCCATAAAACTACGGTAAACATTGCTAATAAATTGTGCCCAAGTTGTATGAACATTTCTTCAAGTTCATAGACAAATGGCGACTGACCGATTCTATTTGAATGAATTAATGTTGATGATCATTAAATGACCCATCCGATAAACGGATTACCTATAACAACAGGTTATGACACCTGTTGTAACCGTTGATTAGCTTGGGGTCGTAAACAAAAGTCATATACTTGTCGCCAGGTAAATTTTCGTAATTGGCTGATCATATCAATACGAACAAAATTATATACCAATCGATCTTCAAAAAAGGCAGGGCGCCCTGCAAACTGTAAAAAGGGCACAGGGCGGCACTCGGGAAAAGGCGGGCTGACCGCCCTGTGAAAACGACCTAGCTGGAACTCTGGACTCCTTGTAACACATTAATTTAAACAGCAAGAATTAATACCAGTTCATGAAACTATCTGCATACATGGTTAGTATTATACTATAGAGTAATGTCATTGTTTGTTTCTCGATTTTTGGTAAAAAAAAAGTATCAATTCCAATTTTTATTTTTTTTTCGACCTCCTACCCTATCCTTTTTCATTATTTTCATTTTTTTTTTTACCTCCTACCCTTCCTTTTTTAAGAAGAATCCCGTAAACCAACTATTATAAAAAAAGTGGCCTTATGGAACAAATATTTACATAATTGATTCGATTTTTCAAATGGGAAATCTTTCTTTCATTTACAAATGATGTATTATTTTCTAACTCTGTTATAAAAAAAGTATATCATTAAGCTAATGCCTTAATCATGTGTGACTGAAGAAAGTCTTGTGACCTCTTGTTCCAGAGCAGATGCACACTTCATGACAAAAACAACTTTTTGCTGAATAATATTCCTTTTCAAAACAAACTTCTGTCAAAATAATTAATGCATACTTGTTTACATGGTTAAGAACAATAGAGAAAAAATGTGGCTGAATCGACTATGGCCAAAACAACTGTGCCGGAACTGGTACTGTGGCAGAAACATCTCTAAACCTTTTTAACAACTATCACATCTTATTATATTATAGATCACTTTTCACTAAAATCATCGTCTTTTATTAGAAATCAACATTTTAGATATTTTTACAACATTCTTAAATCAGAACATTTTTATCTAGTATGACCAGGAACATATATATTGACGGGACTTGACACTACCTGATTGTAGTGGATTATATCGTCGTGCCATAGTTAATAAAGATACGATACAGAAACGGATATGTGTAAAAAACGGACTCGCTATTATCCTAATAATTTCTGATATTATCAATAAAATGTCATTCAAACTAGTTTTATAGTGATGCTAGTGTATCAAACTTGTATTCTGTCACTTCAAATTTGTTAAAATCGCAAGCATTTTATCACAGAATTGTGCAGAATGCAAACCAGGTAATAAAAAAATGGCGGCCATTGCCGCGATGATTTACAAATTCCCAAACTATTATAAAACACTTCACATCAAATAAATCAAACTTATTTTGGTAATTTTATATGACAAAATATATCTACTAAATGATAAAACTTGTATTTATTTACAATTAGAGTTATGTGGTTTATTTGTTGAGCAGTTCTGATAGTTTTTCAGTCAGACGCTACCAAAATCCGTAAATCTCGGGGAGTCCGAGATTTTATCAATTTTATACTGAAAAGCGTATCAGATTCATTTCCCGTTAGATATACTGTTCCCAGGTATGACTATGAGTATGAATATAAATTAATGATTAAAATGTTTTTTTTTATTGTTTCCGATTTCTATAAAAAAAAAACAATTATATTCTCCTCACTTTATAACAATAAAAACCAAGGCCGAAACGACTTAACAAAGTATAGCTGAACTGGCAGTGTGGCCGAAATAAAACATAAACTTTTGTATTGACAGACCAAAATGCGTTTATAATCAATTGGGTATTCGTTCAATTTGGATATTTTGTAAATGCGAGGAAGAGAAAAAGATGGGTGGAGTATAAATACAAAATGATTACGTTATAGATTTTTGCATTGTTGATGTTTTCTTTCTCACAGATCTGATCAACTTTCCATTTGCCGCCTTTTGACAAACCGGAAGTGACCAATATTTTATCTCTGAACGAAAGAGTTCTTCATAATATTGCAGGTGCTTTTTTAGCTACAAAAAACTGTTGTCTGGAATTTTCAATATTATATCCACACTGAATAATTATAAATAATTTCATGGAAAGTAAAGCAACGCCAACTTTCTGAGATATATCGGAATATACTGTAAAATTAACATTTTCAGTGGTGCGTTACGTCATTATCAGATGATTAAAACGTCACTTCCTGTAAATAATGGAATAAGAGATATTGACATTATTTGCAAGCATTATAACTGATAGAAATATTTGTTACAATATGTGGATCTTTAACAACAGATAGTGTTAAATATTAGCTATTGAAATGGTGGGTAAAGGTCATAGTGAACGTAATCTTTATTTTATAACAAAGCTTTCATTAATTTATCATAGAGACAGTTCGTGATAAAAAGAGATAAACAATAAAACATGCATGATGTATAGAACACAGTAAATTATGATATAATGCATCTACATTGTACATGTACCCCACAGGCAATTGTTTCAAGTGGTGGTAAAGGACCGCTCCCTGGTGCAAAGAAGAGGGAGGGGGCCTTTAACTAGTCCAAATAATTATGACGTCTTGCAAGGCTATTTTAATTTTTTTCTGTGATGCCTTCTCACGACGTCATAACGCTGAAGCCACTTTTTACGTCTGGTCTTTGAGAGAGAATTTTGAGACCCAATTTTGGCATGAAATCTTCATTGCTGGCTAGAAATTTTTTCTTAGTTACAAAGTCTTACCTTTTTTGTGCTTATTGATGCAAAATATTTCCAGAAATGATAAAATAAGATATGATTCCATTTGAGGTGAGCAAATATTTACTTTTATTTCAAAATTGTTTCCCAGAATTTCCCAAATACTTTACTTCCGAAGAGTATAAAATATCAAACTCGGTAAAATTTGGCAGACTCGAATTTCCGGATAATACAAATCGAACGTTCCGGAAATTCTGGTCCATCAAATTTTACAAAATTAAAAATTAAAGACGTCATAATTATTTGGACTAGCCTTTACCATCACATGAAACAAATCCTATGTGGGAAGAAAAGGGGGAAAGGGCCTTTAACATTGCATGAATTATATAATACTGATTGAAGAACTGGTCATTATCGTGATATATGGACTGCCCGCAGGACAGTGGTATTGACTAAGACAGTGATAATGATGCCGTAGGCGAGGTCATTATCGCTGTTGCAGTCAATACCACTGTTTTAATATACATGCAACAGTCAATGACAGTTCAAGATATTGAGTTGCCATATCCTGACAAGTGGATTAATATAATTGTGTCAGGGGCGTATCCAGGATTTTAGGTTAGGGGGGATGCAAACTAAAATATTTTTGAGGTAAAATTATCAAAATATTTTTTATTAAGCTGAGGACAACCCATGCTTTGCAAATTTTAAGTGGGGGGGGGGGGGGGGGGGGGGTGGAGCGCGGAGCGCCTGTGTGTACCTATAAATGGCAATTTACAATTTAAAGGTTTAAAGAGGCATAATCTATGAATTTGACAAAAATTAAAATATACTTTTATTTTCAAATATTTATTAAAGCATAAAAGCAGATTATACATGTTACAGAAATAACATTTCGCTATTAGCTTCTGTTTTGTTCAATTTCGTCAAAAATAGCTAAAAACATCACTGATAAAATTGAGAATGGAAATGGGAAATGTGTCAAAGAGACAACAACCCGACCATAGAGCAGACAACAGCCGAAGGCCACCAATGGGTCTTCAATGCAGCAAGAAACTCCTGCACCCAGAGGCGTCCTTCAGCTGGCCCCTAAACAAATATGTATACTAGTTCAGTGATAATGGACGTCATACTAAACTCCAAATTATACACGAGAAACTAAAATTAAAAATGATACAAGACTAACAAAGGCCAGAGGCTCCTGACTTGGGACAGGCGCACAAATGCGGCGGGGTTAAACATGTTTTTTGAGATCTCAACCCTCCCCCTATACCTCTAGCCAATGTAGAAAAAACAAACGTACAATGTATTATTGGCTTGCAAGTCAAGTCTTCACACTTGTAAAATTGCTTTCAGGTCAGTAGATTTAAAAGTTTTTATTGGGAAAACTGAAGTCAATAACTCAACCTCATTTGAGTCTTATAATCATGCTACCTTTAATTTGAACCTTATTAATTAGCGGAGACGATTGTGCATGTGTTAAGCATGCGGTCAGCATGTTCATTCATTAAAACAAAAAAGAAAAGATTCTTATGCAGTTAAAATGATAGATTTGAATAAATTTTTGATCCATATCATGAAATCAAATAGACCTAGAAAATTGTCATTATACAATTGCACATGCTAGTATGTCTAACATTGTCTAATACTCTATTGTATTTACATTCTGTCGTCTTTGGAGGTCATCCCAATGGATAAATAGGGTCAAATGGGGGGGAACATGAATTTGACAGCCCCTTAAAGAAAAAAACTGAGACAACTGTAATTAATGGTATAATTCTAACATGCCTAAGGATGTAAGGCATAAAATCAAATCAGATTTGTACAATACCATAAATACAAACAAGAATTTAATAAATAGGATGCAAATGTCAAGATATATCATTGTAAAAACCAAACATTGTGTATCGCCATAGAAAAAGCACTTCTCTTTTAAGTCTTACCATATTCTTTATCAGTTTAAAAAGAGAAGTCACTTTTCCCTATGATTCTAAAGTAGTGCGAGCCCTTACTGAGCTTATTTTATTTATTTATTAAAAAAGGTAATTGAAATTGTTTAATTGCACATAGAATCATCACACTGTATCACTGATCACAGGCTTTGTTTTTTGTTGTTATTTTTTTTATTTTCTGGTTTAAAATAAAGAGTATAAAAATCTTGGACTTGGTTTTCTTATGGATTTGATATTTCCTCATTAATTTAATCATTTTCTTTTTCAGACTAATCAAACAAATTTGTCATCGACTGCTAGTCCTGTCATTACAACACCAGGAGAAGTCACCACTGCTAACATCACTACGACAGGGAACACTACCCATAACCATCCACTGATCTTTCTACAGACAGCAGCTGCCCAAGGAATAGGAGGAACATTTGCAGTATTGGCATTGATAATCACATGTCATCAGGTTAGTTATGTCTGTTGTTTATGTGATTATTTTATGTACATGCCAGTGAATTTAATCATTTCCACCCATCAACTGTGTCCATCCAGAGGAGTGGATATGTTATTTCTTCTTTTTTTTTATCATAAGACTTCTACATACAACTTGTTATCATGGTTATTGGAAAAATTAGTTATTCTTAATCAAATGTTTTCAAAATTATTACAATATCTTAAGTAAAATTTGAATGGGCTGGCGAGGGTTAACAACCATGTGCAGGTTGAAATTACGAGTCACAAGATCAACCTTAGCTGTAACTTATCATTTAGACCATGTTGATTAAGTTTACAAGTACAAACTGGCCATGGTGATCACAACATCTTCAGTGGCGGATCCAACCCAGAACCCTGGGCCCCCCTTTTTTTTTGACGATCAATGCTTTTGAATGGGGACATATGGTTGGAACCCCCTTTTAAAAATGTCTGGATCCGCCCCTGATCTTTTTTACTAAAGTATTTTTGTAAACCCTCTAAAAATAAGGAGATGTAGTATATGTAGTATAATTGCCAATGAAACAGCAATCCACCGGAGTTCATAGTTTTTGATAGATGTACTGTCAAATGCTTTATATATCTGTAGACACAATACAAAAAGGGACATAAAGAGGTCAACACCCATTTCTCCATAGGTTTCAGGCTAACATCATAAATGTACATTTATTTTGATAGAATCGGGATTATCCATCATTCTTGTTTGCAAACTTAAAAGCAGTAGTTGTTGATTTGAAACATTTTTCAATGCTGGTTTTCCTGGATATATTGTCCGGTTTGAAAAGGGGTTTCTGGTTTGCATTTCTTGAAACCATTAAGTTAAATACTTACAAATACTGTTTTTACTTGAATACCTCTGCCTGTCTAAATTAAGCTGTCATCAGATTTGCATTTAGTTTAACTTTATATGCAGCTTGACCAGGCTAATTGTTTTTCAAATAGATTTGGAACAGTGACATATTTTATCAAGAAAAGTTGAAATTTGAGGTCAAGGGTCCGGAAATGGTCAACATGGTCAATAAAATCCAATTAATTGAAATGAAATTCCTAAGTTTGGTCAAATTCAATTTGAAAATTTGTCAAGATTGGACATTTTCAATGCCCTTTTATCAGAAACTGCCAATTTTATTTAATACTATCAATATCTAATTCCTGATTGCCATGCTTTTTTATACGCCCGTTTATGGGACGTATTATGGTATACTGTTGTCCGTCTGTCCGCCCGTCCGTCTGTCCGACGTCAACATGTCGGACATTAACTCAAAAATCTTTAAAATTTGCATAAAACTTTGGTGAATTGTTAATATCTATTGACGTGAGCTTCCTTTCGTTTTTTATAAAATTTAGATTTTACGTTTCCGAATTTTGGGGTTTTATTCATTATAAAAAGGGGGATTTTCCAGTTTTCGGACAATAAGTCAAGAATGCTGTCACCAACTTGCAAGAAATTGTGGTGAATTGTTTATATCTATTGACATGAGCTCCCTTTCGATTATTTTAAATTTTACGTTTCCGAGTTACAGGGTTTTATTCATAAAAAAAGGGTGGATTTTCCTGTTTTCGGACAAAAACTCAAAAATTCTGTCAGCAATTCTTATGAAACTTTGGTGAATTGTTTGTATGTATTGATGTAAGCTCCCTTTAGAATTCTTTAAATTTTACATTTTGCATTTCTGAGTTAGGGGTTTTATTCATTAAAAAAAGGGGTGATTTTCCAGTTTTCGGACAATATCTCAAAAATGCTGTCACCAATTCTCATGAAACTTTGGTGAATTGTTTATATCTATTGATGTAAGCTCCCTTTTTATTTTCATAAATTTCTAATATGACATTGAGAATTAATTGAACTTTATTTGTTTATAGTCTGACAACAGATTTACTAAGTATTGGGGACTATTGCACACATTTCATATAACCAATTTCAAGTTCTTTGACTACATTTATTCAGAAACCTATAATATGTCAAATATTTAATTACAATTCCAATTCAGACCTGAATCAAGCTTGAATATTGTGTCCATTTTTGCCCCAACTGTTCAGGGTTGGACCTCTGCGGGCGTATCTAGCTGACTCAGCGAAGCAGTTTATTGTTAATTGTTCTGCACTCTGAATTATATGATAATCCACAGTGTAACAGTTTTAATGCCCTGAGGCTAAATAAATGATAACTAATCAATTTCAATACACGTGTTCACACCTGACAGAAGAATTTAGTTATCAAGTTCTGACGATTTGCTGCATTAGTTTTATGCCCCACTTAGGGGCATTATGTTTTTCGGTCTGTGCGTTTGTTCATACGTCCGTCTGTCCCCCTTCAGGTTAAAGTTTTTGGTCAAGGTAGTTTTTGATGAAGTTGAAGTCCAATCAACTTGAAACTTAGTACATATGTTCCCTATGATATGATCTTTCTAATCTTAATGCCAAATTAGAGTTTTGACCCCAATTTCACAGTCCACTGAACATAGAAAATGATAGTGCTAGTGGGCATGTTAAAGTTTTTGGTCAAGGTAGTTTTTGATGAAGTTGAAGTCCAATCAACTTGAAACTTAGTACACATGTTCCCTATGAGTATGATATGATCTTTTTAATTTTAATGCCAAATTAGAGTTTTGACACCAATTTCACGGTCCACTGAACATAGAAAATGATAGTGCGAGTGGGGCATCCGTGTACTGTGGACACATTGTTGTTTAATCAAATCGAGCATAATCTTTTATCATGTTTATTATACCCCAGCCTGGAAGAGAGAGGCATCTATATAGTAATGCTTGTGTCCGTCCATCTCAGCTTTGGTTTCCAATCACGAATGTTATTAAAGTACTGCTTGATCATCATACAACATGTACAATGTGATGGACCATGTAAGATCCTTGTAGGGAAAGCATTGACACAGTATGTATATTTTTTTCAGGTGGTACAAATTAAAAATTAAAGCAAGTGTGAAACTATTGGTATTAGGTAAAACTTCTTGGAGAATTGGGGGAAAAAATAATTTTTCTTCTGAGAATTTGGCTGATGTTCATGATGTTCTGCCCTGAGAAATATGAAGCAAAAATTCCAGTAAATTTACACTATGCATCCATCTAACTAATGGTTTCTGTATTTAAAAATTTGTCAACTTTCATCCAAATTACCATGTGAAAAAAAAAGTTGAACAAAGACAAAGAGACCTTTTTTGTCGAGCCTTCGACTTTTGTCGAAAAAGCGAGACATAGCGATCCTACATTCCGTCGGCGTCGTTGTCGTCGTCGTCGGCGGCGTCCACAAATATTCACTCTGTGGTTAAAGTTTTTGAAATTTTAATAACTTTCTTAAACTATCCTGGATTTCTACCAAACTTGGACAGAAGCTTGTTTATGATCATAAGATAATATTCAAAAGTAAATTTTATAAAAAAAAAATTCCATTTTTTCCGTATTTTACTTATAAATGGACTTAGTTTTTCTGCCAGGAAACATTACATTCACTCTGTGGTTGAAGTTTTTGAAATTTTAATAACTTTCTTAAACTATCCTGGATTTCTACCAAACTTGGTAAGAAGCTTGTTTATGATCATAAGATAATATTCAGAAGTAAATTTTGTAAAAAAAAAATTCCATTTTTTCCATATTTTACTTATAAATGGACTTAGTTTTTCTGCCAGGAAACATTACGTTCACTCTGTGGTTAAAGTTTTTGAAATTTTAATAACTTTCTTAAACTAACCTGGATTTTTACCAAACTTGGAAAAAAGCTTGTTTATGATCATAAGATAGTATCCAGAAGTAAATTTTGTAAAAAAAAAATCCATTTTTTCTGTATTTTACTTATAAATGGACTTAGTTTTTCTGCCAGGAACCATTACTTTCACTCTGTGGTTAAAGTTTTTAAAATTTTAACAACTTTCTTAAACTATCCTGGATTTGTACCAAACTTGGACAGAAGCTTGTTTACGATTAAAAGCTAGTATCTAGAAGGAAATTTTGTTAAAATTTTGTTCCATTTTTTCCGTATTTTACTTATAAATGGACTTAGTTTTTCTTCAAGTTAACATTACATACAGTCTGCAGTTTAAGTTTTTAAAACATTTATTACATTCATAAACTATCCTGGATTTTTACCAAACTTGGACAGAAGCTACTTACAATCAAAACATAGTATAGAGAGGAATATTTTTATTAATTTTTTTCCTCATTTTTGTTGAGCCTGCGATTAACAGCAAAAGTAGGCGAGACACTGGGTTCCGCGGAACCCTTACGAATTTTTTTAAAGATTTTCTGCTAGATCAGGCACAGTTAATAAAGACAATTACATGTAAATATCAGCAATATCCAATTTTCCATGATGAAAACTTATTAAGAAAGATATGGAATCAGATGTAGCAAGGATTTCTATGATCCTTGATTGTTGTAATAATATTGTATGTCAGATCTCAATTGGATTTTACAGAGAATAGTAAACACAATTATGTTATAGATTTTCAATTTAAGGAACTTGACATTTTGAGATTGTTGATATTATAAAACTGATTTGGTTATTATTCAGCGCACGAGAGCTTTTGTTAGAATTTTCACTTCATTCCAAATCAGTGCCAATGACTGCAGTCAAACACGAGGCTAATTAATTGATTGATCTACTCATTACTTGAATTGGAAAATTACTGTGCTTATACATGTATAAATATCCATACATTGTCACTCTGCAAACTACACAAAAATGTACATGCATGCACGATATTCATTTTGAACATGTATAGAAAAGAAGGGTAAACATAGAGGTATTTACATGTACACTTTTGGGTATTAAGGTGATTTTTCTACCTATGACCCTACATATGAAGATCTGTCTCAGAATAACCTTCTTAGGCATCATGCAACAATTACTTTTAAATTATGATGTCAAATGGTTTCAAATGTGAAGCAAAATCTGTGAGAACTTGTTTGACTTTAAGGAATGGCGGACAAATTTTCATACAAGTGTAAATGCATCTATTGG